TAGATAAAATGACAAATTAAATGATGTGTCATTGATAAAAAAATAAGCATATTTATCAACGCATAAGTATTAATCCAATCATTAACTTTCAAGTAATTTAGTTTACAAATTTAATATACAAATTTATCCTGTTAACATTACCTTACAAATAGGGATGGCAATTTAACCCGTCAAATTCGATCCTCGCAAGTAACTGATTTGAATGGTTCGGTTTCGGGCATAAAATTTTGGGTATTTTATGGTTATGAGTAACCGTTGGGTAAAATTTTTAGTTTCGGGTTTGGTTATGGTTATTGGGGTGTCCGCCCCAAATCCATACCCAAACCCGAACCATTTCATCTATGAATAAAAAAATATAAATATTTATTATATGAAAATGGGTTGTTAATAATCATGCATTATTAAATATGAAATTAATTATTTACTTTTATATCATTAATAATAAAAATTATATGCTTATAATTTTCAAGAGTGTAAATGTTTTCTTAGTAATAAATTTTTAATATTACTTATTAAATGCATTGTCTCAATTGTATTAATAATAGCAATTTATTTAATATCGTTTTTTTTTAATATTCTTCATTTAGTTAATAATATAAATAAATATATATATCAAATGGGAAAAACCATTTCCCAACCAAAAATCCATCATCCGACGGATTCGGTTATGAAGAAAACCCGTTCGGGGATTATATAGGTTCGAATTCGAAGAAAATAAACTGGTTTAGATACGAAGATGGCATATCCAAACCCAATTCGTCATGTTGCCATCCCCACTTACAAATTATTTATGGAGCGTTTGTGTTGCTTCATTTTCATGGAATAGCATTTTATATTATTTTATAATGCAGCTGCCACGAAGCTATGGAGAGGACAAAGTCATCATCTTTCTTTTTTTAATTAATTAAAAGAAATTCACTTTTAGTTCGCACAGTGTGTGAATGTCTGGATCCTGTCTAACAAAAATCAACGAAGACAGCCATAGAACACAATGGAAAAAGCTAACTTGATGACGGCCCTTTTGATGTCTCCTAGTTGCCTGCAAGCTGCAATTGAGTCGTACAGGAGCTTTTACACTCTGGGGTTTTAGAATATGAATTAATGAGATAATTGTGTACTTAGCTCATTCTTAAGCATCCCATAGTCTAGTAATTGTGTTAATTATTGTCCCTTTTTTTTTTTTTTGGAAGAAATTATTGTCGGTTTTTGTCACTTTGCTTCAATGACGTAAGGGAAAGCAATATCATTACATGTTTCATCGCTTCTATGCCATTTTAAAGAGAAGGTTGTCATCAATTTTGACCAAGGTATTAAATATCGGTAATATCGGAAATATCGGTAGTCTGAAAATACAGAAATATCGATGGAAATATCGAGATAATATCGATATCGATAAAAATTACATGGAAACCACGGAAATTGTAAGAAAAACTTGGAAATTTTTATTGAAACTTTGCAGGATGTTTATTTAGTCAATTATCTATTAGTTTATCACAAAAAATTGGAAGGAAATGCATTGCATGATGGATTTAACTGATTTAAGTTGATTATATAGCGAGCTGTCATATGCAAATTTGTTTCTTGCAAAAAGAATTCAAAACAAAACCATATATATAAATATTTTAGCATATTTTCACGAAAACATAAGTGATATGGTGGTCAAGGTGTTGAAGGGTAGCAGTTCCGTTGGTTTAAAATCTCAATCCATTAACCGGGTCCAAGTGTGCTCAAAACCCTCAACAACAACAATCTCCCATTCTCCCAAAATACCCCTACTGCACCTCCCATTCTCCCACCCCACCATCAAACAATCTCCGTCATTTCAGTCACAACCCAGGTCCTCTTTCGTCTACTCTGTCTGAAGTGAACTTCACCGAAAACCAAGAAAGGCAGAAAGGGGAGTGAGAGAGAGAGAGAGAAGAGAGGGCGAGGGCGGAAGCGGAGAGCCCTAGGTCCTCTTTCGTCCACCCAAAATTCCCCCACCCTTCTACTCTGTCTGAAGTGAACTTCATCGAAAACCAAGAAAGGCAGAAAGGGGAGTGAGAGAGAGAGAGAGAGAAGAGAGGGCGATGGCGGAAGCGGAGAGCCGTGAAGCTACTGTCTGCGCATGACTTGCAGGAGACCAAGACCTTCGTGATCCGAGCCCGAGAGACTGACCCCAGGCTCGAGGCCACCGAGCAGATAATCGTCGTCGCCGACACTCTTCTCGCCGCTGAATCCCAGATCAACAACCAAAACCAGCAGCCCAACTGGTACGCTATTCTCCAACTCACCCAGTACACTCAGAACCTCGAAATCGTCGCGACTCAGTACCGTCGACTCGCTCTTCTGCTGAACCCCCACCGGAATCGGTTCCCTGATTATGCCTTTTGGCTGGTCTCCGAGGCCTGGAACGTCCTCTCTAACCCCACCAAGAAGGCCATGTACAACCACAAGTTGAGCATGTTCAACCGGTTCGACTCGCCCTCATCCGGGTCGACTCAGCTGTTCAAGAGGCGATATTATCAGTTCATCTCGCGATATTATCGGTAATATCGCGATATTTGGACGAAAACCATCCGGATACCTATTTAAATATCCATTAAGTGAAAAACCGATAATATCGGCGATATTTCGCCGATATTATCGGCATTTTCTTCCATGATTTTGACAAAATGTCAATCGTCCTTCTATTTATTTTCCATTCAATAAAAAATGTTAAAATAATACCAACAAAATAGTAATTAACAATTAATTTTTTTTATTAACAAACGATATTTTAGTTATCTACACTAAAGTGAAGGGAGACTTTGAATCCATGAAGCAATGAGTTGAAAAGAAAGGTTCTAACCACCTGAATAAGTCACTACTTGCAACAAGCATGGGTTTGGTTTAAACGTGTTTTTAAAATGATTGACATGTGTTTTTTTATGAAAATGTTTTTTGAACCAATATTTAGTAAAAATGTAAGGGAATCATAAAAAAGTATTTGAAGTGCTAGAAGCGCATAACTGATGCTTCTTGCAAGATGCATTGTAAGTGCTTTTATAACCCATAAAACATTTTTTTCTTCTAAAAACACTTTCAGTCATTTTAAAAGTACTTCTAAATGAGCCCTATTATTTTAGAAACAATATATATACTCATGGTTTTCTCTCTAACTAGCCTGTAACTTCTCTAGCAAAAATTGTCCCGTATGTCCAATATGGCGTTGTTTATTGATTAAAACGACAACATCAGAAAAATTATTGTATGTGCCGATTACACCTAAAATTTCTAGATTGAGCTTGAATAAAGGGACACTCTTTAGAAGCTCATTATGATAATCTAAGTAGTTTATTTTTAAGTTCACTCAAAATCATCTCCACAAAAATCACTCCAAATTGGAAATTATTCGACCATTTAGTTAAGTGCTTTCTGAAGGCATTAGTTTAATTAGATGGCTCAATGTTTTCACAAATTTTTTTTTTTTTTTTTTTTTTTGGTAAGAATGACGCAAGGTGCAAATACAATGTGCGGTGAGTATAAGAAATCCCTCTACGTATGAACTTAAAATTACTTAATGATAGTGAACTCCACATATGAATGTGGAAACAAATTATTACAAAACCGACCATGCACATTATAAAAACTTTTGTGAGATATGATTTGCTTAATTGCTTAACTAAAGAGGAAATTAATTAGTGCCTTTCTTTTTAGAAGTTTGTTTTATGTGAACGTGCGGATCGCAGAGCATGATCGAGTGCAAAGGGAAAGACGGTGTCCTTTTTCCAAAAACGGAGCTTTAAAAACAAATGGATTGATGCATGTTTTTTCTGCTAGCAATTATGTGCTTTTTCTTCTTGTCTGGGAAATTTAGTTGTAATTAAGTAGTTCAGAAAACATCTTAATTATATTATTACTACTCATTAGTTGAGCATTAGCAGAGGATGCAAAGTCCAGATTTTATGGTGGCTTCTACTTTAATGTCTCCTGCTTGCCAGCAGGCTGCAATGAGAGCGTTGGAAAACAATCTAATTTGCTCTTCATTAATAAAACCCTAGCTGTCTTTCGGCATTGCAGTACTATAACTTTAGTAAAAAGGAAGAATATATAGAGTTCTCAGCCAACAGTTTTGTCCAATTTTGGATGGGGAAATTCCTGAAAATAGTCACTCCTTCGTTCTAAATTGCTGTGTTGGGTGATTTTTACTTTTCTGGGCAAGTGACTCAAGTCATCGAATTTGGTTTTTTGGGTGATGAATGTGATATAATTTTTCATTATCCTGCTACTTAGTCCGACACTGCATTAAACACTTTACTAAAGTCAGTCCAGCTTAGTTCCTAATTAGTTGTCTTTTGGCACTGCAGTACTATAACTTTATTAAAAAAGCAGAATATCTAGAGTTCTCAGCCAACAGTTTTGTCCAATTTTGGATGGGGAAATTCCTGAAAATAGTTAACTCCTTATAATGGATTCAAATGATTCGATTTTAAGGCGCTTGAAATGTGATCAATTTATGTGAGAGTGTATAGTATGTACATGAAAATCTCACTAAATTAAGCATTTAGTTTGGCGAAATGATTTTGATTAAAGGTTAGAAAGGGGATATTGATCATTCACTCGAATAACTTATTCTTAGGTTTGTAAATTAAGCCATATTATGAGTTTTAAGGATGTATTAAATTTGTTGTTGATGACCATGAATTAATATAGTTTTCTTGTAGTTTTGGAGAACCATTTCGATGGAGCTGTTTAGAGGGGTCCCATGAGGGGTTGGTATGTTGAAACTCAGCACTGTCTTTTTCCATATATCGTCCATTAAGTGCAGAAAAAACCGATTATCCTTTTTTGTATGTGAACTTCTATATTATTGACTGCTAGACGTTAAATAGGGTTTCCGAACCCAGCCTGTTTTTTACTTTTGTAGGGCATACGTGGCAGGAATCTAACAACTACTGGGGTGTACAAATAGCATATTGTACTGACCAACTTCATCTACATTCTCCAACATAATAAAAGAAAAAGATCTAACAAATTAATTAGAAATGCTAAATTCATATTTTACCATATCATAACCAAGTTTACAAGAACTACTAATAAAACAATGAAAATAAGATAACTTTAATTAATTTTAACTAATACTATAGCTACCTTAGCTTACTAAACGAACATATTATATAAGATTAATTATTGAAAATTCTTTGTCCTGGAGAGAGTATCCTCTTGGGGTCGAACAAAGCTTTCTTCTTCAGGAAGGCTTTCCATTTAGAGCCAAAGTGGTTTATCCAACCTTGCTGTGTTTTTATGTGAGGAAGGTACTGCTTAACCTCTAAACCAGCCCTGTCACAAAACCCTAATATCTCTTCGTTTTGCTCCTCAAATGCTTCCCAATCGTCAAACCCACTTGAATGCAAAAATCCTACGGTGTAGAAAACATCTTCTTGTGGTATAACCGCTGACATCCTATCATCCCATCTGCAATTTAAATAACATAAAAAGGTTAATTATTAATTTGTGTGCAAATATCAAGGCAGCGGAACTTACGATTTAATTGAGTAACGCTTCTATTTGGACCACATTTATTTACCGGTCATTTTACTTGGCCTCTTTAAAAAAGACGAAAGTGCTCACTTTGTGGGATCACGAGGAAACCCGACCGTCTGTAAATGTGGTCCTAAATAATTCTCATTTTACGTGCATCATAGAAATTAATCTTACTTGGTCCGGTTCATTGGATAAACGAGGACTGGTCCTGTGGTAATGTTTCTCCTGAGAACAATGTCCTTGAACACTCCTGCATCAAAGTCCGAGATGCTACTTTTTGGAATAAAAAGATTCAGCCATGGATGAGGGACATCCCATTGTCCTTGTGAGTGAAGCTTTTCCTCTCCACTTCTAACTCTATTCAGAAAATCGACATAAGACACATCCTTCTCAAACAAAAATCCAGGAAGAAAGCTCAACCCTTTGAATAGAAGTTCAAGTTCCTACATCAAAAAAAAAAATTATAGTCACTAAAAGTAAAATTTGGGTCGCGCGCACTTAATTTGACACACATATTTACTATACAAGGCATATATGAAATTATCACAAGGAACCATGAACTTAATATCGCATAATCTTTTATTTTATTTATTAAAACATTTACCTTCTTCACGGTCGTTTCAGTGTGCTCGTCATAGTATTTGGATACTTCCAGACAATAAATGATGCCACGTTTGGTTACAAGAGAAATAATTCTTGAGTGAGAAGATTGTGGAAAAAAGGAGGATCTCCAATTATCCGGAGGACCCCGGTTCAACATAAGTGAACCTTCCAAATAATCGAGGGCGTTGCTTTGTTTTCTTCCATTGAGAGAAATTAAACGTTCTTGGTCTCTGGCAAAGGTAGAGAAGTCACTGTAAAGCATTCGTACCCACTTGACCTACAAACAAATTGATCACCAAATTTAATTGATTGAGACATATAATATATAAATTATAATCAATCATGTAAACAACACTTTTATGTTAGGAGAAATGGTGTTAATAGGGTTCCACCACTAAACATAAAAAGGGAAAGAAAAGGGGATTAAATTAAGAGGTTAATTTAACTTAATTATGTAATGGCTTTGATGATCATGTCTCTAAGCAACATAGACAAGTCGTTTTATATTGAAAAGTTGAAAAGTGCAATATTAATTTATTGAGTTCATCAGCATCACAAATTGGAATTCGTTTAATTATGTGAAAGTGGGAACAAAATATATGACTAGGCTAGAGAAAGTCCAAGTCAAAATATGAATATGGCTGCAGCCGGCTGCTAAACTAGTATATACTTACCCTCTTAGGTGCTGGCTCTAGGGCAATTCTTGCCCTAGTTATAATCCCAAATTGACCTAATCCTCCCAGGACTCCAAAGAAGAGCTCAGAGTTTTTTTGTGGAGCAAGTCACAAAACCCCCTTGTCCTGCAAGACAAAAGAAAAATATACACACAAACCTAATTAGTGCTTGCATGCAAAGTTACAAATTTGCATTTACTTTTAATCAAAAAATTATGCCGTAAGTTAGACTTAATTTTGAATGATTCTTCGATGCAACTGTCACACAAATTGTTAATCACTAATTGATAATCAGGATCAAGCTGGTGGTGTGAACTTATCCTTAACGTTTTCCAAACGTGTGGGACCATGGACAAGCTTCAAACGTTAGTAAAATGCGTTCAGAAACAACTGTACATTCATGTTTCACAACAACCATATATTTTGTATTATTCCACAATGTTGTTTTTATGCTGAAACACATTAATATTATAACAAAAGTGGAGATACCAATTAAGGAAACGACAATGACCAAAAACAGAAATTAGAAAATTAGCAATTACCAAAAAATGGATTAAGAAAACAATATATAAGTTAATTACCAAAAAAAACAATGAACAAATAAATTCACATAATTCATACCAGTGACAACATCCATTTCATAAACATTGGTAATCTGAGGACCAAACCGGAAGGCCGAGCCGCTGATGCCAGCGTTGGAGAGAGTCCCGCCAACGGTTAAGTACAGGTAGTCGGTCCACGAGACCGGTGTAAGTCCATGTTCTAATGTGGCATGCAGCACATCAATCCAAAGCTGTCCACCTCCCACATCAGCGTAATTATCATTATTATTAATATTAATACCCGAATTATTAGAAGAATTAACACTAATTCCAGATACATGTGGACGGTAATTTGTCAGTGAGGTCATGTCCACCACAACACCGTTCGGGGCCATGGCCTGTCCTCTGGTGGAATGACCGTGGCCTCGAGCAGCTATGCTGAAAGGAGTCGAAACATTGTTTGAGAATTTGATCAAGCTTGAAATGTCGTTTATGGAAGCTGGGTACAAAACGGCTGCTGGGTTGTATCTATGAATGTGACCAAAATCACTAGAAGCTAATTTAATGGCTTCTGGATCGTCACGAAGTTTATAACACATGGTGAAAGTCAGACCGCTCAGAATGATCAAGAATATGAGTATAAGAAATGTTGGGAAGGGAAAACTCTCAGCCATTTTAGGTTCTGTTGAGAGAAAGAGAAAGAGAGAGAGAGAGAGAGGGTTTGGTTTGGTTTTGGAGATAAAGGCAGAGGTGTGCATATATATAGACAAATACAGCTGCATGAGAACCAGGTAGAAATTTCGCAACGACGTCGTCATGGCCTAACTACTGTATACTTTTTTTCTTTCAAAGATACGCAAGGACGAGGCCTTGGATCTCACTGTTGTTTTTCCTTCCAATATCACGAATTACTCGTGCAATGGAATCATGAAAATAAAACGGATAATGTTATTTAAATATATAAAATTAATATATTTATTGATACACAGTACTCTAATATAGGTGAAACTCGCATGCTTATAATTATAATTATAGTGTCCATTTCTATTAAAGAGTATCAGTCAAATGTATCTAAATAGTTTTATTGAATTGCAATACTAGAGAAAATTGGAATACTTGCCTTTCAAACTTTTTATTTTGGAGAAATTTGTGATAGTGTTACCCAAAATTATCATTACTCCACATTGTAATATTTAAAAACAAATACTTTTGAATTTTTAGTTGAGAACCAATGCTCACATAGCTGACACGTTTGTTTACACACTCCATAATAAACGTGAACTCGTTATGCAAAATCTATATATTTCAGCAACGCATGTCAGTTTTGAAATAGGAATAAAAGTTTTCACTCTTTCACGTTTTGTAAGCGTCTTTTGAATGCATTAGAGAGCATGATGGCCACCCACAGAATTCCAACTCCATTAACCCTGTGGGCCATTTGGAGGGTTCAGATTTCTTCATCTGTGGGCCAATTGGAGACCAAGTTAGCTGCGTTTTGGCCGTTGGATTGTGATCTCTAGGTCAAGAAATGTCAAGGTTGGTCAATATATATGGTTACTCAATCGTTATTAGTGTATTTGTTTTCTCTCTCCCCCCTCTCGTTTTTTTTATTAAGAATGGATGGCGGTCAAATTTTGGTAATCATCAAAAGAATCTATAAGATTTTCCATTCGGGGATACAGAGGAACTTTACGAATCAAGGCATCGATGGATTTTGTGATTCATAGATTTAATTTTTAACAAAAACAAAAGTGGGAGACAAAATCAAAGTTTTTCTTCAATGAAAGATTTGTTGTGTGTATCTACAGCTACAAGTTAGGGGTAAAGTCAATTTGGGCATAATTACATGCACCCCGTGTTTGTCTAATATGTCATTCGAACTTCCATTGTGTTTCAATGCATATAATTATATAATCTCAATTTCTCAGCAAAAACACATGACATAACCATGCATGCTTATTTCTTGGCATATTAAATTAATCCAATTGTTTTCCATCATGAACGAGCAATGCTAAATATACCATAAATATAATGGCATAAATACTATGCGTTCCACCTCTATTTAACAGATGCCAGTAATAATTAATTAAAACGATAAGATAATGTGTTCGACATGCAACATATTATAACTTTATTAATAAATTAATAACTTTTCAGCATCTTGCATGCATTCATAAAAAAAAAAATAGCAAGAAAACAATTGCATGCATGCACACGAGAGAATCTGATGTATAAAATTCACCAGAACTTGTCCCAGCCTGTTTAGTTATATCATAGAGTACAAGTTCATACAGTGATGCTAGGCAACAGAAACATACATATTATTATCATTATTATTATATATAAAAGAATAAATCATATAGTAATTTATTTGTGTTCTGGGCAATTTATTTTTTGGGTCAGGTTTTGTACTCTCGCACTGTCATGTTTACATGTCGGGTATGCTATCTACACGTTTATTTTTACTTCCTACATATTTTTTGTTGATTTTTGTTATTTAATCTTCTTTAATTTATTCAATCTTATAACTAAAAATTAAAAGAAAGTGTGAGAAGTAAAAAATGAAATGTATATGGCACCACCCTACATATAGCCAAACATATTTCCAGATCGCAAAGATTTTCATTAAAAATGTGTGTTGGACTGTACTCTAGCAAATAAATATCCCCATTCAACAGATAATCTTTGACCTATAGATCTCACAGGTAGGATGACCTATCGGGTGGCAAGACCTTCCACCATTCTCCATGCATGGTACCATGCATCCATATTCCATTAGTACTTTTTTTTTTTAAACAACCATATTCTATTAGTATTAATCATATAATTAAGAATGTAATCTTGAAAACATATGCATGCTCACCATGCTTGATGTCTAATCATATATTAGTACTATTCGTATAAATCTTGAACACATATGCATATTCCTAATTATTGAAGCTAACTAAATTAATTTATAAATTAAAACAATAACTAATAATTAGAGAATCTATAGAATGTGTAGATATAAGTTGATAGGTTGTCAGGTTAATTAGGTTATTATAGTGAGGAACAATTTATAAAATCGCAAAACTTAATGAAAAAAACCAAGTACAACTTATCACATGCATAAACAGTGATAGTTAGGTCTTCTGCCTAACAAAAAGGGATGGAAAATATGGCAGAAAAGGTTGGTTGTATTATATTTCTCCTTTTTATTGGAGCTAGCATATATATAGGAGAAGGTTAGTTGTATTATATTTCTCTTTTTTATTAGAGCTAGAAGTTTTCCGTCATCCAATTTGTATTAATCACGTGTTAGGCTTGAAAATTCGCTATACATGAAGAGGAGTGTTGAAAATTTGAATCTTAGGTATGTTGAGAATATGAATCTTAAATCGGAGAAATAAGAGACATCATGTACTAATAAAAAATAATTAAACTACTCCTCATATTATTAATGAAATATTACGATGAAATCTCAACATCTTTTGATGAATTCTGACTAATATACTCATATTAATTAAAGAACTATATGTCAGTGAGGAAATATTGTAATGACATCTCGAGAAACAAAAATAATAATAATAAGCAAAAGCGGAGGAGGAGGTTTAAGGTTATGTTTGAATGGGGAAGATTTTATGTTAAATTTTTTATTTGGGACATTTCTTCACATCTTCATATGCCTTTTTACATATGACAAAGTTCAAACCTAACATGTAAACAAAACAAATTGGATGATGTGAAGCATGTGTGGCTGTTGGGCTTTACATTTGCCAAACCTACTTTGAAGAAGTTGCGGTTTCATAATAAAACTAATTGGTAATATGAGGAGTCACCCAACTCCTCATAAGCACATGCAAGGCTTACCAAAATTCCAATGCGGGAACAACACAAGAGCTTTAGGCCAAGTGAGGAAGATATACACTACTACAACACCTTATGTCTTTGTAATACTCATGTGCTGTATTTCTATTCCTTCCTATCGACATTTTATGATCTATTTGTTACGAACTTGATCTCTATCTTGTGACTTGGAAGTTCCTTACCTAAACATAGCCTAAATATTTTAAGGGATTTAGTTTTCATATATGTACACATGCAAAGACTTTGAGAAAAAAAATTCAAAAGGGTCGGGGTTTCCTTTTGTGGCTCCGTGATTGGCTTTCATGTGCTTATAAGGATTTGGATTACTGTCACTCTAAAATAGTCAATATGTACTTCTCCTATATATGCAAAAATTTTGGATACAAAAAAAGAGAAATTAGGTTCACATCCCTCTTTTTTCAATTTCATTGATTGAAACCTTATTCATTTTCAAATTTTAATAAAGGTCCCTTGGTTTTAATAAACATCATTAATTATTTCAATAATAAAATATTTTACATATCAAGATAATTAAATTTTATTTCTAAATTATTCATTTAGTGTTAGAAACGTTACATTTGATATATTTATATTTATGGCTAAATTTTGTATCATATATTTTTATTTTTAGTTTGTACCCATTTTAATTTGCAACCCTTTTTTTAAATTGTGCCAATTTTCTATTCAGTTTTAGTTTGGACCCATATATTAATTTCTCTTTGTGTCCATATTTTTCAAACTTTTATTTGTACTCATATTTTTTTGACCTTTTATTTGTACCCATAATTTATTAATAATGTACCCATTTTGTCTTTAAAAAAGTACCACTTTGTTATATGTAAAATGTACCTTCTTTTTTTTTTGTAAGTACCATCTCTTTTGTGTAAAATGTACCCATTTTTTTTTTTTTTGTTTATGAAATGTATCCATTATATAAAACGTGTCACCTTTTTTTGTATAAAATGTACCAACTTTTTGTATGTAAAATGTCATTAATATAAGTAATGAAAAATCATGGGTTTTATTTAAGTATAATTTCTTTTAATATTTTCAACAAATTATGGATTTTACTTAAAATCTCATTAATATAAATAACTACAAATATCAAATTTTAATTTTCAAAAATTATAATAACCTACATAGAAATGCATTATTGCGTTAATTTTAGGAACTTCAATAAAAAATAGAAAACCAACAAGGTTTCAATAAAAGAACGTTGATAAATAAGGACCGCATCCAAAGTCATCCTAGAAAAAAAATACTATGGATGACAGTAGAATGACTTTTTGAAAGTGCCAGTAACTTCTTTCATTTTATTGTATATTAATTTTAAGGAAAACTAATGAAAATGACTTGAAAACTTTGAGTTTTAACGATAAGGACAAAATAAAGAGTAAAGTAAATAGTATCAGGATTGATTTTTTTGTGTAAAATTGTGGTTTTTCATTAAAGTAAACAGTACCAAGAGTTTTCGTTAAAGTTCCCTTAATTTTATGATACAATCTCAACTTTCTTCCCTTTTATAACATATAATCTAATTAAGTGCTTTAAATTAGAAATCATTAGTTTAGTTTTGTTTATGTACAGAATATTTAATATAACTTGGTTAAGTATAGTACTAATTCACCTGCGTGATTTCAAAGCATTCGGGTGAACTTTGAGTTCATTTTGATCTCAATCAATATCAAGCAGATTTATCATGGAACGCACTCCATTGACCCATGTCAATTCTCATTCTTGAACAATCTATGGCGACTTTGACGGAGTAGTTACGTTGATTAGTAAATGGGTGACAATTATATTTCACCCAATATATTCACTAATTTATTTGGTTGTCGAGCAGATATGAATCTGGACTAACTTTGTCAAATTGT